GTAAATGGCAGCACTGCAAGGTCAAAGCACTCAGCAGCGACGCTGTATCATCGCTGATGTCCTGCAAGCAGCTTGAAGCGGTCCGAGTCTTGCGATCAAGCCCAATGAAAGCCCGAACATGTGAGTTGTGCGTGCATGCCCTAGGCTGGGAGCTCCCCTCCTACGCTGGTAACGCATTTGTTGCGAAAGCATCCCTGGGCAAAGCTTCCCGCTCGGCTGTCCTTGTGAGGCAGACAGATCCGCGTTGTTTTCGCTAAGCGAGATGGCCTCAAACACTCGTGTCTCAATGTGTCTCTGCAAGCCGTTCCAAGCACCATTCTCCGAGTGGTGGCACTGCGCAAGCCAGCGCTGCACTGTGGAGACTTGGACTGCATGGCCCGTCTCGAGAATTGCCATTGTAAAACAAGAAGGGAAGCACAGTTCGAGTTGAGTTAACCAATCCTGGTGCTGCACAGTGTGGATGGTGGTGATGCCATCTGCAACTGAAGCTATGTCGCATGCTCTGTACTCAGTCTGCCCAAGCTTCTTGCCCCGTGTCAAGGGTCGAGTGGGGTGGTGACAAGGCGAAATGTGACTGGTTCTCGAAGATTAACAACAGCTACGAAACAGCGCAAACAACACAGTATTCAGCATGCAGTGTACTGGGAGCGGCCAGAAAATCAAGCATTGTGCTACTAGGTACTAGCTATGCATGGCTTGTCTGCGCATCATGATCCACATCTGTTTTTGCCACCGCTTGCTGTCAGCTCCACTCAGGACGCGCGGGGACCTGCACATTCACGAGTCAATGTAGCCACACTGGATTGGTGTTGTCATCGTTGCCCCTTGACCAGGCCATGCCGCAAGGAAGTAACTAAGGCTCACCCGGCTCTTTTTGGGCACAGTTCTGCTCACTCCACAAGCGTCGAAGCAAATCGGCGATAAAGCCACAACGTCACCCGGCATGCGTGCACAGCACCATGTCAGTTTTCGATTCGAAGAAGACGAACTTTACTTGAATGTGCTACAAAGTATGTCAATGCCACAACTAGCTGGGTGGACAAGTTCAGCAGCTGTGAATCGGGTGACTAACGGAACATGCTGCGACATCTCTTCTCGACACCGCTCAAACCAACACTTTCCTTTGGATCAATGCTGTACCAGGAATGTTCAGCAGGAAAGGCTTTCCTCCGACCGAGGCTTAGCTTCAACATCGCTGGCCGGGCAGTCTAACTAGGGTCCAGTTCCAGTTTCCCTGCAACCTAGCACAGGGATGCAGCGAGGTGCATGAATTACACGAGAAACACTCAAGCGTCACTTTCTGCACGATGCTTGCATGTAAACGATCTACATCGTGTATCCGTACTGCACATATGTATCGTCATACCATTGGTCATAATGCTGGTCGTAGCACTGAATGTAGGAATCCTCGTAAGACTTCTCCAAAGACTCCCCGTAGTGCTTTGCGAAGCTCGGGTTGAAGGATTTGTAAGGCTCGCAGAGCTGCTTCTCAAAAGGTTGCTGGAAGGCCTTCTCAGGCTGACTGAATGGCTCAGCGTATGCCTCTTCTGCAGGCTCAACAAAACGCTTGTCGAAAGGTTGATCGAACGTGTTTCCGTACTTCTCAAAGGACTGTGGGTATGCATTCTCTGGGGAATCGCCATACTCCTGCTCGCCGCCAGGATCGCTGTACTGCCTCGGCCTTGGCAAGTTCACATCTGCCATGGTTACCTCCACGTACTCCTCGAAGGGCTCACCAAATTTGTCCACAGGCTGGGCGTACGACTTGTCAAAGTCATTGTAATGAGCTTCAAACGACTCAGGATAAGGTTTGTCCTTTGCTTGGTTGTAGGTATCGTCATACATCTCGCCAGAGCTATCCCCAAAGCCCTGGTCGTAGTCGTCTATGTGTGTATCATGGTTCGCATCGGTGAGCTCGCCGCCGTGTCCGATGTGCTCTCCATACTGCTCCTCATAAGTGTACCCCGCGTTGTCCTCAGCCCAGTAGCGCTCGTCATAGCGATCCAAGAGATTTGTCGGGAACCAGCCAGGCTCGCCAACATCTTGCATGTCGGGGCCTAGGACGGAACCACCTGTCCAACCATTGGAAGCTGTCCTGTAAACTCTGACAAGATCACCCTCTGAAAGAGCGATCTTGTTCGGGTTGTTGTCCGGAGTGTAATCATATAGCACGATGCAGATGTCGTCCTTGGCTGGTTCTTACATCATCGGCACTTAACACTGCCAAAAGCTGCAGTATATGTTTTCTTGCACCTGGGCACGCCATCATTTTTTCCAACTCAAGTCCGGTTAGAGTACAGAAGCTCTGAACAAATCCTCCGGCACCTAGATTCAGCATCTTCGCCGTCGCTCAACACCCTTCCCATGTGGCGGTGTCAGTGTTACTCGCTCTTCTGGCGAACTTGCAAATATTGCAGAACGTGGTCAGGGATCTGGTCAGATGTGGGGACAGCATTTTTCTCCGGCTTGCCAGGCCCCCGCTTCCCACAGCCACAAACAAATGCTTAGAAGCCTCCTCTAAATTTACATGGCGCATCATGACGCTCAGCCGTGTTTTCTTTCTTTTTTTGTGCCGTCCCGTACCATCCCGTGCCATCTGCCGCCCCTGCTCCTAGCCCGTCCCTGTTCCTGCCTGGCGGTACGAGAGTTCTCCTTCTGAGAAGGCTTTAGCCTTCCCCTGCAGCCGTCAACACTTCACTGCCTTCCCGCTATGCAGGGTCGGGGGGTTCTTCCCCATGCTCAAGATTTGCTGGCAACAGAAAACCCAAAGAAGAAACCCCTGCCAAGCATCCTCAGCAAAAACGGGCGCAACCTCAGCCTCACCGCCATCCTGACTCTCTCCGCCAGTTGCCCAGTTGTCACCGTTGTCATAGTTCTGAACTGGACACTTGCTTATGTGAGACACATAGTCGCACAAGTTCCCAAGCCAGGAGCACTCAACACCAGTGTGGTGCGACAGCTGTTGGGCATAGTATCCGAACGGATGCTGAAAATGCTGAGGGTGATGGATGCATCTGATGCGAACGTTGCTCCAGCAGCGTTGCAGCACAAGGGCAGCAGCATGACGGGCATGATGCAAAGGAACGATATCGCACTTCCTCAATCCTTGACCACATTGCGGGCAAGGAATGTTCTGCATCGAGCAGCCGGCCTTTGGCCCAGTCTGGTTCAAGTGCCCCCTTACTCTGCCCATCACCCAATTCTGGAAGCAGTCGCTGCAAAAACTGTGAGAGCACCGTGTGAGAGTTGGATCGTGAATCACTCCTTCACAAAGCATGCAAACGAACTCCTGGCAACTGTCCGGATCCACAAGCTGCTCTGGGTGAACTTCCTTTTGTTTTGGGCCGCGGGGCGGCCCTGCAGGAAAGCCTGCAAAGTCCTCCGGATCTTGGTCCGAGACCTTATCTAGCCATGGAAGAATCCGCAACGACAAGACAAGACACATCAAGACACTTGAGGCCTGACTTGAGAGTCAGTGAGGCAACGCTTCCCTTCCTTGAAGTCAAGCAGCCTCCCTTGTCCAAGAAGGTCTTCGATCGTCCACTTGTGGGTCGAAGGGCTCGATGCGAGGGTCCCCCATGGGCTGTGCACGCATCTCCATCCTCTCCATTTGGGAATCAATCTTGACTTTGTCCTTGTTCTCACGCTCCAAATCAGCCCGAAATTTGCGCATGCACTGCCCGAACAGCGAGTGCTGGTTGGCATGTGTCGGTGACCTTTTGGGCTCCTGGTTGGACTCTACCTGGGACAACCGCTGCAGGCAGAAGTGCGGAAGATGAACCCTGCACCTGTGGTGGCAGGTGCGAGCAGCGCACAACTTGGCATCTGTCCGCCTGCACACGCTGTACCGGTTCTGAAGGTTCTGGAAAACCCTCTCTGCATCCTCTATATAATTATGCTCCAATCGCAGCCACAAGGGCACGGTGTCTGGTCTGCGATATTCCTCTGCCGCCTTGATGATAACAGTGGCACCAGCTGCTGTGAACATGTTGTGTGACAGATGAATTTCTTCGAGACCTGGTGCAGACCGGCAAAGATCGGCCAAGTCCTGAGCTCCATGATCATCGATGCAGTTCTTGAAGAGCTTGAGAACACGGAGTTTGGGGCACCGCTTGCAAATCTTGATCACCTCGGGGAGCTCGTTGGCGGACAAAGAGTTGCCAGAGAAGTCTACCTCCTCGTACGGAAGGATGCCTTGTCGGATTTCCTTGAATGGAATATTCTGCGGACCGCCTTCGGCTCGGCGAGAGAAATCCAATCTAGAAGTGGGAGACTTGGGAGGCATCGTCTTTTTCACTTGCACTCCGCAGCCTCCAGCCAACGTTTCATAGAACTGCAGACCATGGCTTCACATGTTCACACTGCACATGATGCATGTCGTTCGCAGACTAAAAGCACATTTCACCAAGATGCACAGCGCAGGCCGTGTGCTTGCTCGACGCGGCCTTGCCGCCTCCACCCTTGGATTCTCATGCTATAAGTCACAAGATGCCACAAGTGGGCAAACGCAAGCACAGACCAGCTGGGCAGCTCACGCCGTGCGGCTTCCGGACGGCCCGATCCACTTCAGCTCAAATGGCGGCAAGAAGGTCAAGATCCGAGCACTGCTTCCCAAGGCAAAACCGGCAACACCACGATCAACATCTACAACACTGTTAATGCAGCGCTGGCAGTCGTGATACTGCTCCGACAACCCGTCTTGCCTGAAGAACGGGTTCCTGTGTGTCATCTGGAATCCGACTACCTGCGTGACTGGGTATTCAAGAATTGTTATATTGATGCATGGTGCGAGAATGCAGCCGAAGCTGCAGCCGACTGGCAATGTTGGAGACCACCGTCCAGCACTGTCTTACTTACCCGGCTTGGCAGGAAACATCAGACACCGGCATGTCAGAGAATCATCCGGATAACAACTCAAGTTGAAGTCACAACAGCACTGGCAAAGCCGCAATTCAACCGCGTCTTTTCGGGGGCAGGCAGCAATGAGTAACTTCCTCAGGTTAAACATCCTGCGCTTGGACCTTGCAGCAGATCGACAGATGATGTGGTGGTAGCTCAGGAAATGGTCTGAGTATTTGCCTCACTGGAATCTTGGATGGCTACCTCTGAGCTCCCATCGCCTCAGGCCAGGCCGCACATTCAAAACAAACGTGCAAATGGAAAAGTCGCGATCTCGGCTTCCTGCTGCTTTGCCAACGGTTCCAGTCGTCGTCAGTCCATTCCCAGTCGTCGGAACCTAGGCAAGGGATGCACTCGGAGCGCACCAAAGACTACACCTTCGGCACCTCGCCTTCCATAGCTTCCCCTTCTGCTGTCCATTCACTCCAATCCTGGTACCCAGACCGTCCGGATTGTGTCGCAGGAACTGGCAACCCGCGTGATATTTCAAAGCAACAGGTTGGTGGTTCACAACAGCGATTGGCCCAGTCAGCCAGCAGTCATCAGGTTTGAGCTCCCGCCACAGCAATAACAAAGTACGTCGACTTGTTTCTCAAAATCTATCAAACTCCTACATCCGTGGCTCCAAGGACAGCTCCGAAAGCTGTTGCGGTGCTCGCACCTCATCACCAACCACCCAGCACTCTTCTGCACCAAGCCTGGGCGATCAATGCAACTCCTGGGGCATCCTGGGCCGAACACGCTTGGACTGAGACGGGGGCCCGCTTGCGTCTGAGTAAAGGTGAAACCTGCGCAGATAAGCGGAAAATGCTCGAGATCGGATGGCTCTTGAGATCGGGGAGACCAAACAGCTCGAGGGCCGAGCTCGCACACCTCACCGGGCCTTGGCGAGCGGCTGTCTGATGTCTGACATGAAATGAGGAAAAAACAGCTGAAAAGTTTCCGACGCCAAAGACTTGCGCGTGATCAGGTCTATCACCTTTGCTTGTGCTTGCCCCTTGTCGCTCAGTTGTGCGGCAATCCGCCAGCCACACAAGCCCGGCGCGTTTATGTAGATTTTCCCTTGGCGCTTCTCCGCCATTGGGTGGTCAATGTCGCTGGATGCCTTGATCCATCCTTCAGCGGCGAAGGGCGAAGGAGGAAGGAGGAAGGAGGGCGAGAGGAGAGAAAGCCCACGTCCAAGGCCCGGGGCCAAATTTGGATTTCCACTCCAGTACCTCGCCTCTCAGAGGTTCTTTGGACACCTCAGAGATCGAAGGGCCCTTGTTGCGCAGCGCAGGTCCTAACCGAACGCCATGGCGGCCGGCTCGTGTGCGTGGAAGATGCGGACCTGGCCCAGGGGATGAGGACAATGTGAAACTTCCGAAAGGCACCTTCTCCCGCAGAATTTATTCGGTGCTGCCCGAGGGGCCACTGGGTTTCTTTGTCTTCCCTTTGCCCTTGCCTTTCACCTTGCCCTTGCCTGCACAGCGCGCAGTCACGCAAGCCCTTCAGTGCTGCAATGCGGGTCACAACAAATGTGTAACAAACTAACGAGTGAATGCTAAAAACATCGTGCCTTTTCCCTTCTTGAGAAAGTCCTCTCTGAAAGTACAATGGTCGCACCTTTCCGTTCACTGCCTGCTTGCTCGCATATCGTCAACCCCAGCGTGTCCTTCTGAACAGGCTGTCTCTCCTTCGTCAACTCGTCCAAGCTTTTCCTCGGTATGAGCGCGGACGTTGCCTCCTTGCAATTCCGTGGTCACGGACATTCCGAGACCGTGGCATCTTCCTTAGAGTTCCGCCAGTCGAGCTACCCTGCGGAAAACTGTCGGCTTTGCAAATGCACGACCCCGAAGAGCAGCCAGTGCGGCTCATGTTCGTCTGCATCTACATCTAAATGCGAGGTCTCTGGACGCATGGGGTGCCTTCAGTTCCACAACGGAAGAAGCTTTGTCTCCGTTTCCTCTTCACCGAGCAGATCATGCATGCGTCCAGAAACCATGCTTGAGTTTAAGGTTCGTCTAGCGATCAAACACACCGCTGGTGACTCCGTGTGGCCTGCCGCTGGCGACCTTGGACAATGCAGCCGTTTTGCACTTCTTGGCAGTCCAGTGGCCGTGCGGTCCGAAAGCCCTCAGCTTCTGGCAGGGATGTGGCAGAATTGGAAGCATTTCGAGGCAACTCGGTCCAGCACAAGTCGACTTGGCTCAGCATAACTCAATCCACATCACATGCCGCATAGTACAGAAGTGGAGCGGGAAAGGCCTCAATTCCAGTGCTTTTCACCTGAAGTTCCAGGGCCCGCTCAAGATGTAAATTGAGCTAGTGACTATAGCTAGTGAAGCTCGTGCTGCATGTGTCGTCTTCGCGACATGCAATCGGCTTGGTCTGAATGGCAGTGAAGCACCACAAGCAGTACACTTGTCAATGCGACTGTCATCTGGCGATAACAACAGTCTTCGCGAAGGGCTGGTGCTGGGAGCGAAGCCGCAAGCGTGAAGCGAATCTCCCGCTTCACAGCCCGAAGCCACATCTGCAAAGCCACATCCAGGCCTGGGTGGCCGAAAGTGCCACGATGCCACTGGCCGTGTCAGAAAACTAAGAGAGACCAAACCACCCCATACTCCCTGATGCTGTATGCTGATGCATGGAACGGTGAAGCATGCTACCGAAGCTCAGAGCTCGAGTGTAAAGTGTTCAGAGATGGAGAGCTCTTGCGTGCTTTTAAATTGGTCCACGGCCAGCTGCGTTCGTGGGATTGGCCGACGAACATCCACTCGAAAGTGGCACCAATGGTCGGTATGCCTCGTTTTGACGTTCACTTCGCCATATCATGCAGATTCCCGGCCACTTGTGTTGACCTCGGCAGCTCATTGCGCTTCCTTGAAGATTGCGCTCGGCAGGGTTGCAGCCGCAGTGCGTGCAACCTTGCACACAGAACTGTGTCTGCCACGAGTTGGCATAATGCAAGCCGTCTAGGCATGCTTCCCAAGCCTTAGCCTATCCACCGCCGCCTGCGCAAAACTTCTTGTGAAAACAAATCTAGAAACATCAGAAACTTACAGTTGCATTCGATCTTGCCCTTGCATATTTCCGGCACGGCTTATGTACCGTGCTTTTCTGCAACTTCCCTGCACAAGAGCAAATGCGCAAGAAACAACGGTCCAGGAGTCCAGGAGGCGAATCTTGTACAGTACCGGACTGGGCGCGCCAAACAATAGCAAAAAACAAACCTTTGGCTCGGTACCTGCTAGGCTTGACCCGACGGTCTTGTATTGTCAGTTGCTCGTCTGTGCAATTTAATGACGTACTGGAGCTGATGCTTCGAATGGTTTGAAACTCAGCATCTGGCCCAGTGCTTGGCGCCTACGTTGGAAGTCGCATGCCACACAAGGTGGGGAGTCAAACCTGAAAGCACGAGAGCAGCCCGTGCACTCAGAAGCTCGGTACGTGAGCTACGTGCAACATGCTACAGGCCGCTACCGTGCATCCGTTTGTCACTGCCGTTGCAGCACAAGCTTCCATCTTGTGCAGCATGCACGAAATGTGCACATAAGCCTTTGCAGCAGCATGCTCAGCAAGTTTGATCAAACTGGCACGGCTCCGACCGGTGAAACTTTTGCACACCATGGGGCAATCATAAGAACAAGGAACATGTGCAACACTTGCAACATTCCCCCAAATTTGATGAAGTCGGCCCAGTCGTAGCCACCAGCTGCCATCACCAGAGTGTTCGTTTGATATCCGTAGGGTGCCATGTAGCATGCCGATGCTGCGTAAGTAACAATCATTGCAACTTCGCCGACTGGCATCGTCATCTCCTCTGCGACCGACAACGCAACTTGCCCCATTATGGCAACATTTGCGGCACAGTTCAGGAATTGGCCCAGTGCAATAGTCGAACAGTACAGTCCGGCGCACACAGCCGTGTGACCCAGTGGCCTAGCGAAGAACACCACAAGCTGGCCGACGCAATTTGCCAAACAAGATTTTTCCATTGATTTGCCAAGAACCAAAGCACCCACGATGGTAAGCAATACTGTACCATTCACCTCGCCGTATGCCTCCTCCATCTTAAGACCTTTCACTGCTATGATGCAGCACAGGAAGATGACAGACATTAGGGGCATGCTCAGTCGTTTGTATCCCAAAGATGCCAGGGAAATCACGACGATCAGGCCGAGAACAATGAAAGCAGCGCGGAGGCTATCTGCCTTCTGTCCAGAACGTGGTGGAGCAGAGTCCGGTTCTACACGTGCAACTCCAAAGCTGTCTAGCCAAACGTCAGAACCGACCATGTCGCGGAATGCTTCCACCAGCAGCACATCACCAGCTTGCAGCGTGTAGTTGTGAAAACTACAGGGATGCGGTCTTCTCGTTGGGTCTGATTCTTCCTGACCTACACCCTTCACAGAGAGAACCGCACAGCGGAGCTCCTTCCTCCACCGAGTCGCATCAATTTTGCTGCCAACTAGATCGTCTTTGATAGTGACTTCACAAAGGGATCTGGAGCGTCGCTGCGCTCCCAACAGATGCACCTCTGCTTCGTTGCTTAGCTCCAAGCCTTTCACTCGTCGTACCTGCTGAGTGCAATACATTCCCAAGTCGCAAGGAAAACACAAAGCTTGCTCGACTCGGTGCAGCTCGAGACTCGGCTGACGCACCAGCAGCACTGCACCCGATCTGCAAAAGGTCTCCTCCAAAACTACAGCATGGATAGAGAGCACATCATCTAACACTGAATAAACACTCTCACATGAATTTGCTGCATTACACGCACATGCTAATTAGTCTCGCTCCTTCTTGAAGTTGCAGATCTGCCAACTGATCCCAACCTTTGTATTCCAGCCTTTCAGAAACCTCCTGCATTGACTGCAGGAGCATGTCGGAGAACTGTTGTAGCTCAATTGAGTGACTGTCTGGGCCGTGCGTGCTCGTGCCATCACCCTCACGCAGCAGTGAAACTATTGCCTGCACTCCAGGAATGCGATGCAAACCAACATCCATTACGCACACACCGATTAATGGGCTCGCGCTCTGAACGCGCAGAAACAGTGTGAAATGATCTTTGGCAGATGCCTGTCTGCTCGCCGATGGCTCTCCCTCTGAGTGTGAGGAGCCTTCAGAGCTTGTCAACATCCCGGGGCCAAGCAGCGAAGTCACCACTGCACCAAAGCAAACAATGATTGCACCGCCAAGTGAAAATGTGAAGAAAGCGATGTGGTAGCCCTTGCCTGCAAAGACTTCCTGAGCGACGAAGTTGATTGAACTTCCCATCAAGGTCAGACTCCCTCCTGCTTGGGCTGCAAAGCTCAAAGGCATAAGCAGCGTCCGAGGGGGCAGCCCACGACGTTGGCAAAGAGATTGCAAGACAGGTATCATCATGATCACAATGGGTGTGTTGTTGAAGAAGCCCGAAAGAACTGCCACCGACGTAAACATTACAAAAAGCATCGGCCGCAGTCCCTTCGTCTTTCCCAGAACATAGCCTATCAGTGTCTCAGGGATGCCGGTGTCACCCATTGCCTTCATGATCGGAAACAACAGTGCCAATGTGACCACCTTAGAGCTTCGAGAAACAACTTTTCACACTGGCTACACGTGTTCGGCTTTGGTCGTTGATGTTGCTTGGTTGCACGTGAAAAGCCCTCTTCAAGCTCCTGACTTCGTACAAGCCGTGTTTGCCAGGGTTCGGGGATTCTGCTGCAATCTGTCACTCGAGATTGCGTGAAATTTCACAGATCCCGCGTCCTGCCCTGCTGGCTTGCAGTGATGATTGAAAGAGGGCATGTGGAATCGAAATGAGCCCCCTCTGCTCGATCAACCGGGTTCCATGCTGCATCTGACGCGCATCCTTCGAAGAGAGCTCCCGGTTCGAGAAGGCCAACGAAGCATGCGACAGCTCCAGCCGCGAGCAGTGTCAGCTCCACCGGGGCTCCGTTGAGGACAAGCCTTTGTATTTGTTTTGTGGAACAAACGTTATGCATCTCCGATCTTTGCAAGCAGCAGTTCGTTCATCCTTAGCCAGGCTACGTAACGAAGAACAGCATTAAATTCGCGTCCACCACGAGATAAGAAAGGCTCCTGGGGCAAATCCAAGAGTAAACGCTTGGAGTCAGGCCATCTTCAACAACCCGGAAGCAGCCGAGTTCTGCGCCGGCCCCCTAAGCATGTCGGCGTCGGTGAATGCGCCGCAAGCGCAGAACTGAGAGTTCCAACGAGTGCCAAAAACGCAATGGAGAGCCAAGGAGGGCGCTCTCTCAGTTGTTGGGTAATGTCCTCGGAACATGCATCAAAGGCTGCGTCTGCACCTAAAGTCCTCTCAAGGCATCTCAAAGCCTGACGCATCGCTGAACACAATACCAGGCGCCACATAAGGGACAGCAAAGCTCTGGCGACTCTGGCGCGAGGCCATGGCCGGTATGACAAAGCAAGAACACAAGTCGAGCTGAAATCACAATTTCTTCACTGTACATTAGTACAGTCGCAAACTCAGACCGCACCTGTTTGGTGACATCTCGTCTTGTCGAGGCTGGCAAGGATGATGTGAAATTGCTGTGAGCCCTGATATGCCCTGATGCATGAGCATTGGAGGAGATATGTCATAGCAAGACTGTGAGACGGGCCGCGGCTCGCGGCCAAGCACTAAGTAAAATGCAAAGCTCTCGTGAATTTGGTGGCGCTCTTATGACCGGAGCTAGTCGAAAACTGGCATCGAGGTAAGTGGCATCTGTTTGCATTCCAGCAATGCTCGGGGTGAGGGACAGCGTTCCGCTCTAGGGAGTTCATCTATGTTCATCTCCTGTTGATTCAGCCTGTTGATCTGGACCACGTCAAGCCCCCCCACTGTCTCGAACAGCTGCTCGACTTTTGATTTTGTGTGTGGGTGCGGGACTCTCTGTCTGGGGCGAATAATGTGCCTGGCCATAGGCATCGTCCGATCGGACTCTGGGGAGGTATCCTCACGGACCCGCCCCTTCAATACAACATCAGAGAAGTGATGTCATTGGTGCCGAAGCGGTTTTCTTCGTCGTTGGCGGTGGCGGCTGCAAAAAAAGCGACTTCGAAGGGCTTTGCTGCTCGGGCGAGCTCGACAGAATGCACCTGACGGCACGAGTGAGTCAGATTGAAAAGTTGGTTTGAGGCAGGGATCTGTCCAGGATTCTGCACAGAAGGAGCAAAACTGAGCAAGGGCAGCACGCCCACGCTGACTTGAGCGGTGTGACACTCCTAGTTCCCCCTTTTCCGTTTCTCGACAAGGGTTCGGTCCCTCCTCACTCTCCGTCCCTCGCTCCCTCCCTGTTGCTTCGCTGAGTTGCCTCCGCTTCAAACGTTCTGGCAGTCCCGAACCACGCGCAATCACATCTTTTATCCAGGACCCTTCTGCCCACACAACGCCCACTTCTGAGATTGAGGCTTTCCCTTCGAGCCGACTGAATGAGGAGGAGTGGCCGCAGAACACCTGTAGCTGCAAAGGCTCGGCGGTTCAAACACAGAACACAAGCTCTGCGTGAAGCAGAGCCTGTCACTGCCAGCGACGAAAGCAGGAATTCTCAAAGGTTCAAGCTGCCGGGTGCACCGGCCTCTATCGTTCTACTTTCTGGCTGTTGAGGTCCAAGCGCGTTCCATGAATCGCCTTTTGATAGGATTCGCTCCTCCACCCCTGAGATGGGCAGCTCGGGCTGTGACAGAGAGAAATCGAAACACATTCCAAACAAGGACCAATACTCCCTTGGGGGTCGAGCTGGAAGGGGGTTCGCCATTCATGGAGATGATCTCGTCACCTTCGAACACGCCTTCGACCTGAAGATAGAAAGCAATATCTGGTACAAACCATGAATCACGAATCCTACGCAGTGAATCTGCAATCTGATGCAGTGGTAGCGTTAAAACTGCGAGGCTGCATACGCTTCATCGTCAGCGTTGAGAGAGACAAATGAACGAGCGAGAGACAAAGAGAGAGAGAGAGAGAGAGAGAGAGATAGAGAGAGAGCAAGCAAGGACAAGCGTGCACTAGCGCGGACATACGCAGGCATGCTCTCGCACGGGCTTCCGCACACTCTTTCTGTGCTGCAATCTCAGGAACTTGCGGGGCTTCAAAACAGTGGGATGTTGTCTATCTGCGTGTCTATACGAGTAGTTCGATCATGCCAGGGCAGTGAGGGGGGGGGGTGGAGGGGGGCAGGGGGGGCGACCATTTCATTTTACCCTTGGCACAAGCAAAGAAACGCTGACCCACGGTGCACCTCGAGTTTGCGAAATTCGAGGACGCTCTGTCTCCTTCTTGAGCGGCCAGTCCCAGCTTCTTTCGGAGATCACTTTTTCCTACAGTACTTGTCCAATATGATTGAGAACCACAAAGGTTAACCTGGATTATACAGGGATGTTAATACCCTAATAAGGTTGAAGGTTACTGTACCACTCTACTACTAGGTCTTTACACTGCAGAAAGGATCCGTGCCTGGGGTTTTGCCCCGCTCTCGAAGGACTTAGACGAGAAACACGCCTCCGGAGCGGTCTCACACAAATCACATGCGCACCTTTGAGCATCTCACTGACTGGCCTTCGGGACCTCAGAGACGAGAAGCTTGCCAGCATGTAGCTTTAGAGAAAGGCCTGGATCTGAAACATGCCACAAACAATGAATGGTACATGCCCGTCCGTATTCGCGTCGGAATCTCGCAAAAGTGCACCGAACGCCCTACGCAACGCTGCAGTGGGCGCGACCAACTGCCCAAAGCGAACCCAGCCTTCCCAGCCGACCGGCAGCTTTACCTCACGTGCTCGACCATAATTGTGCAAAGAGTGTCTTGCGTGAGCTATATCGCACCCAGTCAGCTATGGTGCAGGGGCAAGTTTGGCGTCGTTCGGCCTACATGATGCCTGTAGCGGGAGATGTGCCGAGGATTCACAGGATGTGGGGGACGCAGGAGCCCCTTGGGATGCGGGGTACTCCTGGGACCAATCGAAGCTGGGAGACTGCCTGGACACCTTTGGCGAGAACAAAGCCAGGAAAACACTCCTCTAGCAGAAAATCACGGACAACTCTCTCTGACAGAGAACCTTCGGTACATACAGCAGCATATGGAAGTATAGAACTTTTGTGCGCAAGTGCTCCGAACCAGGCAAAGTACAAGCGGAGGCCCATGGTAGGACCAACGCAACCACACACCAGAAGACAGCAAAACTTACAAACACCAGAACACAACCTCACGAAGGCAAGCCACGAGCCCAAGGAAGCGGCAAATGTACGACTAGCTAGTTTAGGTCACGGTGCCAAGCGAAATGCTAAGCCAAGCTCATGGGTTTAACTCAGGAATCATAACTCTTACAACATTTTCTTTCACAGAAGCAGCAAGCCTTCTCTAGCGGGAACTTCTGTCTTTGGCAGAAAACAACTCCAATAGACATGCTTGCTAGCACAGACAGTGACAAAAGCATTTCATGACAGTGCCGTACAGTAAACCTGATTTTAAACAAGGTCAAGCCGGGAAAGGAAAAACCAAACCGTTCTTCAGGTACTACGGAGAATAGAAGCCTGCGTAATGTCGCATGTCGGAGATTGCTGTCAAGCAGAAGCAGTTGAATCAACATGTCAATCCAAATAAAGGGCTGCTGCAAGAGTCACGCTCATGTTTGAAGCTTCAGGGTTTCGGCGCTCACACTCGGACGATCCAGGCGAGGCATGTGCTTCGGGGTTTAAAATAGCTTAAGGGTTTGCGGGTTTCGACTTCAGGATCCTGAGTGTTGACAGCCATTGCCATAGGGCTACATCCCGAGCGAGCGTGTAGATAAACGGATAGCAGCTGCTCCTTTTCAGCATGGGCTTGGAGTGTGTGCCGGCGAATACCCCAAAAGCAGGACAAATTATGCTCGGACTTTCAATCTGCAATGGGGGCTGGAAGTCTGACCCGAGTCATAACACAACCTACCACCGTCCCTTGATGCTCTCTAGCTAGCACATGGCGACCGTACCACATGTGGCTCGCATGGCGCTTCTTGGACGAGGCAGCATCGTATTAGAGGCGGTGGCTGACAGCGGCCGAAGAGCTGAAGAGCCCTCCATCCGCGGCCTCGTCCGCCATCACCCCGCGAATGCTCGGCTCCCACAGCAACATCGCCCAGCATCCCGCGAAAGTAGCCTTCACATGCCTTCACTCCCGGCAGCGTCGCCCCACGAACACTGGCGTGGCCTCCCCAGCCACATGGCCCAGCCCCGTCCCCTTCCACGGCAGCCTTCTCCATGCAGCCGTTCTGCCTTAAGTCTTCCACGCCAACCCCCTCGTCGCCTCCTTGTCCCTGTCGCGCCCCCATATTCAACAGCCCCGTCTCCAGGAACCGTCGCCCCGATCCCACAGCCTTCCCAGGCCCGTCCAGACCGTCCCGATAAAATGCTCCCTCTTCGCTAAACTGGCTTTCCAATCCACGGAAACGGTCGGAAGGCTACTCTGCGAGAAGGAAAAAACTAAACAAGAACTTCGGAAAAAAGGAAACATAGTTCAAACCAAGAAGTCCAAGAACGAAACCCAAACTGAGCCACGTCAACGCGCAAGACGCGCCGGATGCGGGCGACACACGTCATTCTGCAAGTTTGTAGTGCTGCATCGCCCCGAACTTGCTTCCATAAGGTCTGAGAAGTGCCTAATTAGCTGGAGGAAACAACACATGCAAGAGATCACGGCCCGTGATGCAGCGATAGTCAGCAAGGCAGGCTGCATGTCTTATCTCATCTGCAATCTCCACGTCCGGCACTTCAGTCACATCTAGCGGCTTGGAGTCCTACCAGACGCGAGCCCAATCACCGAATCAGCAACATGCTCCAAAATCACTCAGAATCGAAGCGCTGAAATAAACAGGATGTTGGAACTACGACCTCCATTTTGAGAATACAGGCTATGCCAAGTCGCTAATTAGACACATTTCGACGCTGCCCCATGCACAGGGTATCTTCCGTTGATTCGATCCGCATATTTCCAATTCAACGGAAGTCACTGTAGTGTGCTTAGTACTCCTTATATGGGCCACTAGTGAGTTGTCGCAGAGCTTTTGCACAGTCGCTATTGTCCATTGTCCCCTGCGACCCTTGAAGCCCCCAAACTCAAGCAGCCAGGAATCGTGTTTCAAGAATCTCTCGCCTGGGTTCCCAGAAATCCCATCGCTACATTATCTCTTGTATCACAACTTGGCGAGGATTTGTTTGAGCACGCAGCGCAAATCAGCGAGGGTAGGATGCACTGCAGCCTACTATAGCTGAGTAAGCCCACTAACCCAGCAACACCGGTTTTACCACAATACCTGGGCTTAGTTTCAGCTCGTCAGTTCTGTCATCTCTTTCCCATGATTGCACTGAAGCGCAGGTGCGCATCATCATCATCATCATCATCGAGATATCGCTGCATAGTGATTTCATAGTGCACAGTACGATCCTTCGGCTGCCTGCCTTTTTGAAGCAAGAGTGTGATCCACCCATTCTGGATGCCTCTTTCACATACCCTGACATGGATTTGGCTGAAGAAAACACACCTGGACGGCGTCGACATCCATGACCACTGACTGCTGGGTCACATGCTGAAAATTGTCATGCCAAACTGAGTATTGTTGGATATTATGGGTTTATCGTTGAAAGCTGGAGTGCCTCTGCTTCAGGTGCTTCTGCCTTCGTATGATACGACAAGCTGTCTGTCGGTGGAAATTGAGATGCATGACATTCAACTGCTGAGAGTTCGATGACTTGACAGGCCTCCAACGGCATCTAACCTACGCTGGTCGTGTAGAAGGCCATGCAACGACTGATTCAAGCCCACACCGTTTCTTGCACTGGTACGAGCCGGCAGTAAGTACTCAGCATCTGCTGTGTCATCTGTATCATTTGCTTCACTCGGCCGGGAATCTGCGTCGCGCCTGCTCGCACAGCAGCGCTTTGCTGTCTGTGCATTGGAATATGCGAGGCCTGAACGTGCCCCGCAGGCTCAGAGTGCACTGAATGCAGAAGCAAGCGCTGCTCAAGGCCGTTTCTAAGTGACCCGGGCGAACGCTGTACAGTAAAGGTGCGTGTTTCAACCATCAACACTCGCATGAGCAGACTGGGAAGTCCGTTTCCAGTTTGCCATCCTTTCTCGGAATGGCTTGCGCTGGAGGTCCGTTTCCAATGTACGCCTTCGCGGAATGGCATCCATGCCATGCCTGCAGGTAATCTTCGCATCGTCTGGCAACCACATCGAGGTGAGCTGCATGGAGCGAGCATTCGTCTGAATGCATGTCGCCTCAGGGCAGACAAGAACCAGAATTTCAATCATCATATGCTTCATCAAGTCTTCCCAGCGACTGTCCGAGGAAGCTACGGGACGAGCGGCGCAGGCCCGGCAAATGCACCGCACAGTCTGGAGGACTGCGTACTGCATGCGCCATCCAGTATCCGCCAGTTTGAAGCTGGCATCTGCTCATTCACCAAAGTTGCCAAGGGCCGACTTCAATCTGCAAGGAGTGGATGCATTCCTCGCAGGGGATGCGCCTTCAGCTCCCGATCTTCATGTCATTTTCTCTCTCTTTCCCGAATCTCGCATATACTGCTCGAGTGCAATGAGCTCGCGGTCGCTTTCCAAATACCCATCGGCCACAACCAAGTCGCTGTCATCACCCAAGGACTTGGACTGGCCCAAGACGCCTTCCCGCAAACAAGCGAGTTCAAGAATTCGACTTCTTTTGGGATCTTTTATGCAAGACCGCTTGGGGCCTAGACGTGTAGGACGTGTAGCATAAGCGGACAAGCTGCACATGGCCAGGCCAGAGAGAATGCCGGTAAACGTCCCTGACCAGTAACCCAAGTCCCGTGCCATTGTGTCTCCAACTGAAGATGCCACAAGTGCTGCCTTAGGGACCATGCCCTAAAAAATTATGTGCTCAGGGGCTTCTGCGGGCTTATGTGTCTTGCCGCGCCTGCTCTGCACCTTGCTGCCTCGCGAAATCCAGAATCACTTGCGGCACATCTTCCAAATCCCAGGTCTCGAACCTCGGCCTGAAGCGAAGGACTGCGTGGCTGGCATGATTACAACTCGTGTTTCCCTGTGTACGAAGACAGGAATGTCTGGCCTCACGTACTTTCGCCGCAACCCGCTGCGAAAGCCCTGCCACCACCGAGTCATGAAGCCACGACCAATGCCACTGGCAAGCGGCAGGCCAATATCAGGTACCCACTTGGATGGCAAAAGTTGGAGGACCTTCGGGTCGTTCTGATCGTACTTCGTGGGCAGTCGGCCGAATCTGGTGAGCACCAGGTTTCTCGCAGTTTGGCCTTTCACCACGGACTCCTTCAGAACGCTGCCAAGCCGGTCCCATCGAACTCGAACGCTTAGGACACGTTTCATTCTGAGTCGTCCCATTGCAATCAGCTGCTTTAGAAAAGAGCCACAGAAAGCGTCAATCCAAAGCCGTTTGAAGTTGATGGCTCTGTTGCCTCGCCACGTTGGATCAAACCGCTTATGCCATCAAGTCGGCAGGCCTAAGCCTAAGAAGATGCGCGGGCATGACATACAGAAACCCGGGACCGGGAAGATAGCTACGTGAATACTACAAGTAGTAGAAATGCAGACAAATCGCGGCCGACAGCAGAGCCGATCTGAAAACCTGCGGACAAAGCCGGACGAACAGAAGGCAGCACTCGCGGCAGTGTCCTTGCACAAAGCTCGCTTTCAAAGACCATGGATGCCCCAATGCGCCAGCGAGCCAGCAGATTCCCATCTTCGGCATCGCGCACCAGCAGCACTGGGAAGCGCTGCGTCCGAGTTGGGTTGCGGAACATCCAGAGCAGATCCTTTGCGAAAAGGTTTCCATACAGCTCGCCAAACAATTCCCCGGCAACTTGGCCGGCTCCTTAGCAGCCGTGCATGCAAAACGTGCATTCAAGCTGATCACACCGTAGGTTTAGACCGGTTTGTATTCGTCAGGCAAGCCTTTCGATCGAGTCTCTCTCTGTTGCGACATTTGTCAGTTTCTCCCACTGATCCAACACAGTTGCCCTGGCTCGGTTTGACATTTGAACGGCGCCAGAAGCAGCCATCGAATCTTGTGTGAGCTCGAAAACCGAGCGCGCACTTTGCTGAAAGTCGCTGAAGGTCTTGCCCACAAAACCGAACATGTTCTGCCTCACCACGAAAAGGCTTGAAAGACTCAGCTTAACACATGGACACGTTACGTCGTGTTGAGACCGCATGAAACTGCAGGTGCAAGCAGCACTGAATTCAAGCGAGGAGTCGGCTCGGGCTGGTCTTCGCTCCGGCTCTCGGAAGCAATTTTCTCCCGCTCTTCCAAGCAGACCAGTGCCTGCCAACGAGGCAGAAAGCCGGGCTTGCGGCACCTAACAGAAACATGACGAAGTCTTTCAATAGGAAGGGCGACCTCATTTGCAGGAGCTCGTCGGACTATGAGCTGAATGAGAGCAACATTGCGCCAGTCCTCACCGTCATCTGCATCACATGTTCGCAGCAGACTATGCCAAAGCCTACTACTGTCAGTGGGGATACCACATGAAAACAACTCTGGCAGCTTTCCTGCAGCAAAAAATAGAAGCTCCCGATCTCGCGTGCTGCCACTGCATCCAGGAGTGCTTCGACGGTTCTTGCCCTTTTGAGCCTGCGTTCCAACAATACGACAGATTTCGTAATAACCACGCAAGCAGGCATCGACCAAATCCCGAAAATTCGAGACGTCAAAAAGATTCAACAAAATTTTAAACTTTCGGCCTTCCTGCGCCTTTCTAACTTTTCTGTACTTTTTCGGCTTTTCGCGCAGCTCTGCGCTTTTTCTAACTTGCTTGTACTTTTTGGGTTTTTCTGTGCTTTCGGAACTTTTCTGTACATTGCGGGCTTGTTTGAATTTATGGGTTTTCTACGCTATTCGAACGTTTCGGCACTTGTCGTGTTCTGCGGCTTGTCGTCTTTTCGCTTTGTTCTGTGCTTTTTCGAGATTGTCGCTGCTTTTCGTGTTTGTCGGCTTTTCGCGCTTTCCTGCGCTTTCTGAACCCTTCAGTACTTATCGAGTTTTTCGACTTTTCGATTACTCGTGTTATGCTGCGCTTTTCGATCTTTATCAAGTCTTCATGCGAAAGAGCTGACCTAGCCTACTACCAAGCTAGGGGTAGGACCTACAGGTTAGGTCTGAGGGGCAGGCTCAGCTTGAGACTAGACCGGGAGTAGGCAGGCCAAGGAGTGCTGGATAGGGGTAAGGGCTAGTGACATTGGGGCTCGGGTTAGGGTGTATTTATAGACCTACGTCCCAGTAGGCTTCGGACTCTGCCAGGGGTAGGCCTGAGGCAGCAGCAATGCGAGTAGTAGTCCGCGGCAATCGTCGTACAAGTAAGACTGTCACTATAGTCGCGGAAGTTGGTTTCAGCAGAATCGAGCTTTTAAGCAGCCTCCGCCAAATGGAAGCTTCGCATGTCGGGCTCCGCCCCAACAACCAATACGCAGCCAAAGCATATGTAGGTATTTAGGCTTAGATTTCGAGCTAGGCGAACTTTCATGTGCTGTTTCAATCTTGTTTGACCATTTGTGCTTTGCCATCAAACGCTACACAAGCAGCCACAACATATGGAATTTTGGTCTGCTGTTCGGGCCTGCCCAAATCCTAAGATGTGTGTTTTCAAAGCACACTTAAGCAGCAGAAACATGGGCATTTTCCATTGCTCGGTTTTGGGATACTTCGGTTGATTTTCTTCGAGCTTGGCAAACGGCGACTCGCAAAAATCAGTGATTTGGCATCCGCCCAGCACCCCGATGGCATGTTGGTACAACATTTCGGGTTCGGGGGGCCCGAGGTGGCAACTTTAAATGAGTCTTGAATAGTCTTGAGCATTCCGCACGTCCCGTTGGTTACCAAGACACAGGCATTCCGGCCTATTTTCCGGGCGTGGGGAGCCAACCAAGAACTTAAATTCCAAAAGCATTCTCTTCCTCCCACCCAAAGGGAAGTTTTGATCAGCTATGGCCCCTGACGGGATACAAGTGTTTTGACGGGCCTTTATGCTATAGCTGGAGATATCCTTTCGCTGATACGGTTGTTAAGACGGCTTTTATGCCCCTCCCCTTCCGCTTTCGCTAGCACGGCCATAGCAAAACACTGCTGACAAGGCCGACGGATCGTTCAACACTGCAGAGCGCTTTGTGATATTGCTTCTTCAACCCATCATAGCTAGTATCCTGTAGTGCCATCGAATACTGCACGATTACCGTCGCCGGAACTCCTTGAAACGAACTCCTGGCAGAACAGCATCGACGGCACTTGTGGCTGTTCCCGTCAGGAAATAAGTGTTAAGACAGGTTGTGGCTCTTCAGCTGTCGAAGACAGTCGCCAGTGCTCCTTCGAAGAAGCTTTGTGGCATCCGCCATCCGCAGCACGGAGGCTTAGGCTAGCGCTCAAGCCTGCTGACACGTGCGCACGTACGTGGGTCTTCGCGCATGGAAAACGAGTGGCAAGCCAGAATCCAGGTATTGTAAGTGCCGAGAGTATCCGTGGTGATACGATCCACTGAGATTCGTTCTGTTTTTGGGTTAATTATCGCTGCTTTTGTCATCAGTGCGAACACTATGTGCCAGAGATCCGGGTGGAACTGAGGCGTTTTGCGTGCTACATACAACTATGGCACAGAGAGGAGGAGCGCAACAGTGCATTTGTCAGATCTGCTCGCTCGGGCTTTCCCTCACATGCCAAAGACCCTGGCAGCATGAACAAATCACGCTGGAGAGGTTGCTCGACGATATGCTAGATACAGTATGCTTTGCTGCGCTGTGCTCACAACCCCCCGGAGCATTGAGGCATATGCTCAGGCTATTCAGAAAGCTTCTCCAAACCCTGCTGGAGCTGATTTTCCCTGCATCACTGAAGACGAACCGACCTCACAAAGGGTTACATCCGCTTTCAGCAACGGCTCTAACCTTACATGGGCTCCTACTTCTGAGAACCCATAGACAAGAGCATCAAGAGCCTTGGGTCCTTCGGATCTTTTCTTTGTTGCCAGCAAACGGTGTACGATTGCGTTTCTGGGGGCTCTTTAAGTCCGGCTACAGTAACTCTTGGCTTGTCTGTGCTGCATGGAGCTATTGAGGGTGTTGGACAGGATGACGAAGCAGCAGTTTACGTCCTTTTCAACAACAGCACCAGATACATCGGAAAGGCCCTGCTGCACAGAGCAGAAGGAAAGAATGGCATGCCGGCCAGAAGCGTGGAGCACTTCCCTGCAATACTGCGAAAGGGGCTCCATCTTCAAGATCTGTGCGTGCCATTTTGTTCCGCCGAAAACCGCGAATGTCATTGGTTTTCTGGTGGCCAAGCACGGGCCGCATGACTGGATAAAGGCTTCAGAGACATTTGCCATTCGCAACCTACGGCCCAATGGCAATGCGGGCCAGTGTCCTGGACGGGAGCGGCACAGGAAGCGTGGACGTGGCAGGCCTCCACAAAGATTCCGGCAAAAACAAAGGCTTTCTTTTTGGAGCGCTGCAGGACATCCTTCCAGCAAAAGAGGGCCAAAAGTGAGACAGCAGGTCCGGTCAACATATATTCAATTCGCCGTGGATGCCTTCTAGCTTTGTGGGCGTGCTCCTGGAACAGCGTCTTGAGCCTGCCACTGCTTTTCAAGGGTCGATCGCCACAGAATGCTGTCGTCCGCTAGCTGCTCTCGTCCACATGGTAGATGGCTATGTTAGGCAACCAAAAGGCTTCGAGCATGTCCGCAGCAGTTCAGGTAAGCCTAGTGCTTCTTGACCGAGAGCGTTGGGAGGTCTGTATGGCGCATGTGAGACATCATCCCCGTTTTGCAAAAGGGTTTCCAAGAGCTGCAAGTTTCTGGTTGCCCTTCGGCTTGTGAAAGATGACGAGGTCCCAAGCGCCGGACGACGATACTCATTGCGGATGCGGCCCAGATGTACGAACAAATCAATCCGGACTTGGTACTGGCCTCAGGCGCTCCAAGCCTTGCCCCGCGTCCAAGCAGTCAAAGGGCCCGTCAGTAGCACCATGGCCGGGAGGGAATATGTTACAAGGTCTTCCTCTTTCGTGGTTTTCTCGGTGCAGCAACTACGCCGTCTCCTATGGACAAACTGCCTGATCCGCGTCGCCTGCTTAGGGGATATCGTCGCCAAAGCGCAGGGTCTATTGATTGGCGGCTTGTTGTCCGTGATCGCAGCGGTATGCTTGCTTTTTCAAGAAGAGCACCGCGTCATCAATGGACAAGGACCTGCAACGTTTTCCCTCCCTCGGACTGGCCAGTTCGCCGGGCCAGTTGGGTAATGAGATACGTAGACGCAGTGGCTTTGATTTCAAAATGCCTCTGCCATGGGTGCGTTCAAGGATTGGTGAAGGCATTGTATTCAGTGAGCTTTAAGGTCAATCCGGAAGAGAATGGGTGTACATGGACAGACGTGATTTTGCAGGCTTGCCAAGAGACAGGAGATGTGACATGGGCGCCCAAGAACCCAAAGGATTCTATACTGCTGACAAGTAGAAAGAGAAGTACGCGCCGTATCTGGGCCACTTGCAAGTAAGCTTCGGAGTTCTGCGGGGGATCCTAATAGGTTGAGCTACACGATTGTGCGAATTGGCCCTCCCGCAGCATCGTCAAATTGCGGCAATGATGAAAGAGATGCAAGAGTTGGTAATGGAAGGGTATCCCCCTACTTTGCCGCGGCTTTAATCCATTCTTTGCCATCAGGTAATCCAATGTTTTGCGTCCTCCGAAGAGCCACAAGGGTTTGGTGCAAGTGCCGGTAGCTAGTTCAAAGGGTATGTCCTCTCAGTTTTTGGCTTGCGCGTGCTTTGTAACCCTCTCTCGTGAGTAGCTGTCGGCACCATGAAACGCTCGAAACGGAGACCCTGACCGCGGCTGGGGGCCAAGGCAGAACAGACTGCCTCATACCAGGGCTTTGGATGTTTCTAATGTCACAATGCCCATTGGCAAGTCAATAGATGACGTTGCTCCACTCTTCCACACCATGTGGCCGCTAGAGCAGTGCCTACCGACAAACCTTAAGATCCACCCTGCCACTGAAGCAGCCTGGCGAGGTCTGCTTGGCACAGGCACAGGTGATGCGAAGCCCTTGGGGTTTGACATTTATCCTGATGGCTCCTTCCGCAATGGACTGAGCACATGGGCCTTCGCTGTCCTTGCGTCATGGGAGAACGGACAATCGGTCTGCGGCTTGCACGTGGTCATGCTGCCTTGAAAGGTGACCGACCCTCTGTGGATAGGAGCTGAGGCGCATTCTGCTCCGAATGGAGAGAGGACTGCAATCTTTTGGGCACTAGCTTGGCTCTCGCAAACCCCATTAGGCGTCTACAGTCGAGTATGGAGCGATTATCGCCAGCACCGAGCAAAAGACGATCATCGCGGCACGGACGTACTACTTCCCGAGCAAAGGTTCTAGGGACAGCTCCTCTCTTCACCGCCGTCGTCGCTCGCAATCTCGCTCAGAGACACCTGAGCGGGGCAAATCTAGCTGCCAAGGATTCACCAGGGTATGAGGAACACAAAAAGCAAAAGTTGGAGGCGACTGCGCAGCACGAGCGCAGACTGCAAGCTCAGGCTCTTGTCAGTTGTCTTGAGGGAAGGCAGAATGCCATGGCAGCAATGTTTAACGCAGGACAAATGCCGCAGCAGCAACCTTTGCCTGCTGCGCCTCCATGGCCTGGCCAATCGCTAGCAGGGCCATAGCAAAAAAATGTTGACAAGGCCGACGGATCGTTCAACACCGCAGAGCACTTTGTTATATTGCTTTTCCAATCCATCATAGTTAGTATCCCGTAGTGCCCTCAAACACTGTACGATTACCGTCGCCAGCCTTCCTCGCAGCACAGCATCGCACGCACTTGTGGCTGTTCCCATCGGGATATATGATATACGTGTTAAGACGGGTTGTGACTCTTCAGCTGTCCTGTTTACTCCCGTGAAGACAGTCGCCAGTGCTCCTTCGAAGAAGCTTTGTGGCATCCGCAGCATGGAGGCTTAGGCTAGCGCTCAAGCCTGCTGACAGGCGGCCACGTACGTGGGTCTTCGTGCATGGAAAACGAGTGGCGAGCCAGAATCCAGGTATTGTAAGTGCCGAGAGTATCCGTGGTGATACGATCCACTGAGATTCATTCTGTGTTTTTGGGTTATCGCTGCTTTCATCCGTCCAATTATTTTTTGATTACTTGAGCATCCTTAAAACAGCTGGAATTAACGACACCATATGCCAGAGGCAGTTTGGGATAATATGTTTGAGGTATGGGCAACCCTTAAATTAAATGGCAACCTTCAATGACATTTTGACCATCTCATGAATCAGAACATAGGGATTTGGGCAGATTTTTCTGAACGTTACACCATTTCGGGCTTCACTCGAGCAGCATCCATGCTTGATGCCTTTGACTGGATTTTCGGGCCAGGCGAAAACCCAAGCCGTTTCGACGTTTCGCCGTCTTGACTTTTCGCCATTCGCCGTGTTTCGGTTTTTGCTTTTCGCGATTTTGGACTTTTTGTTTTTGCTGTACTTTTCGACTTTTCGCGGTTCTTCTTGATGTTTCGCCTTTCCGGAAACGTTTATCCAATGCAATTTTTTTGACTTTTCGCGAGCTGTTTGGCACTCTCCGCTATCCACGCCCGAAGCCATTGGCAAAAACAGAGGTATACCAGCAAAAGCACATCTTTGGGGCAACAGCCGGTGTCCGCCTGTACATGGATAAGACCCGAGAGCTTGCTATTTGACACCAAAGCAAGCCGGCAGCAAAGACGTCAGCATCGGCTGGCTCAACTGACTCCTCTGGCTTCTCAAGATACCTCCACAAACAGGTGCTCGCAACTGGAGATGGGGTTCAAAATCGAGGTGAGGACGCGACCTCCATCGGGTCGGGCCGACGATGCTGTTCAAAGGCCCTCCAGTTTTCAAGTCCTTCCTGAAGAACGTGTGGTGCATTCCTGCTCGGAGCAGTTTGCGGGCACCATGTCGAATTACGCATCTACCAGTAACATCCAGTAACCAGAATTTCGAACCACATTCAACTTCTGCTCTCTATCGATATGGTTTCCGTAGCTATTGCTGGATTGAAGCTATTCGACCGTGAAGGCACAGGTCAAAGACAGGAAAGTCCCAAAAAGACGCAGCGCAGGAATCTCCTCCTGCTCCCGGTGTTGTGAAATCAGTCCGGCACAGCGTCCTGAGGCCTCACGAGGCCTGCTGGGATCCGACGTGGCGCTGAGGCCATTTTCTCTTATCGTGGACAAGCCGAGATTTGCCGAGATCCCCAGAACTTGCTTGAATTATTTACATATTCAAAGTCCGAGGGTCGGAGAACGCCACAGCCTGCTCCGCCACGCGCTGCCAATGCCGAAAAAATTCTGCGAGTGGGTGCGGGTCCAAGTAGAGCCGTTTCTCCGATGAAGCCACCGCGGCGGTATCTCCGAAGTTCTTTCTTGCCTCTCCGGGCAACGATTTCACCGGCAAGGACGAAATAAAGAAAGTCTCCGATCTCCCCCACATCGAACAAGGAAGATCCCGGAGGGACAAAGAAAGGTCCCTGAAATTCGCGTGCAAGTTGGCGCAGATCTGAGATCTCAAGCTCCGCGAAGATGGGGAACCTGGCAAGCGGGACCCAAGAAGCCGAAAGTGGCTGCAAAGCAATGGCTGTGGTCAAGGTCAAGGCGCTCCCCCAGCAAAGCCATAAGCTGTTCCCGGGCAACACCTTGTCGAGCCCCAGTCTGGCCATCCTTTCGCAGGCTCGGCAGAATGTCCAAGGCTTTCAGCGGCCCGAGCACCTGCTGCGCACTGCACACCAATCGCCACATCTGCAAACTGCGACACACAGCGGTCGAGTCGAAACGTGCAGCCTGGCTGTCGGCAATCTTCGAGGCCTTCGGCTTCGTACCTATGCGATACAATGGCTGGGTCTGTGTTTGGCGAAGCCGAGCTGTACTCAGTACATGACTCTGCCCACCGGCACCTGGGACAGAACGGAACGCAAGCGACGTCAATTCCGGGCCGCGTGACGTACGACTATGACACAATCTCTGGCCGCCTCTGGCCGTCCCGATTCAGCCTTTGCCCTGGGCCACGGGATTTGATGCCACAACCGGAGCTCGCGGATGTCAGTCGAAGTTTCTGGCGGGCCGGCATTCCCTACCGCTGACATGTGCTTCGCAGAAAACATCCTCGCAGGATTTTCCATCTAAGTTGCATTGTGAAGCCGTGGACGAGCCCAAGTCCCACGAGCATCCCACAAGTCGAGCATTGCCGAGCTGTTTCTGCAACACCGCGGACCGCCAACATCGTAGCCATCCGTGGCCCGTGGCCTCTCCTCAAATTGGACTTGCCTGCCCGGGCTTCCTCCTTCGGTCTTGCCCGAAAGAAAGTGCGGAAAACGGCCTGCTTTGCCGTGTAAAAACTGGACCGACAAGCACAATGCCGTCAGTATCCATCAATATCTGTCGAGGGGCAGGGAAGTGCATGTCCGACAAAGTACGGCAAACGAGCATGCTACTGGTGAATCGTGCTAGGGTGCGTTTGCCCAGTGTGCGAGCCACAAGTGCTTCCGCCGTCGACCGTGACTCTTGTAGCTCCTCGGGTGCCAGTGTCTGCCAGAAGACCTGCTACTGATTGAATGTGTGATCATCAATGCTCCCGCACACGGTCACATGAGGCTGACTGAAGTCCATGCTGCATGCAGGAGTCCGGAGCCATGTAGGTGCGCCAGCCTTGAACAACGCAACGAGAAACGGATAGAAAAGGCTTTCGTTCATAAGTGCCATCATGCCACTCAGTTGGCGAGATCTGCCTTTCGGCCACGGATTGGATGGCCGCTCACATACCCCCAAGTCTGCCAGCCTGGGTACGGCGCCACAGCAGACTGAACGGGGCCTGGTCTGAGTGGTCAAATGCATTTTGTAATAAGAAACGGCTGCCGTTCCTGACATTTCCTGACCGGGCAGCTTCAGCCGCATGCGCCCCATTCCTGACACTCCATGGCACGACACGTGTGCCAAAAAAAGTGAGTTCGTTCCAAATCAGCTAGCACTTACACCGTAGTGCTGATGACTTGCTTTCGAAAACAGCCCCACCGTCACGTCGCAGCCACACGCTTTCCGGTGAGAGGGCCAGGTGGTGTAGGCCCTGTGCATGCAAGGCCGAAACCGCTGCCAGCAAATCCTGCGCACCTGAGGCAAGGAGAGAAGCAAAGCATTGCAACCTTTCTGCTGAGGATGCTGAGCACCTTCGACAGCCTCAATCATCGCCAAGCTGCATTGGTCAACATCATTGGCATCCAGGAAATCGGAGTTCTTGCCTTTATAAACTGCATTCACATTACATTACAAACCCAAGAATGGTTTCGACTATCTATCGCAACGACCAAGCCGAGGGAGCTGCCCAACATTCTTGAAAGACTTTCCCCGAAGTCTTCAAACAGCACCAAGTGTGCTCCAGTATCAGTTTTCAGGCTCCCTTCGAAGCGTACGATTGTCTCGGGTGGTCCGAAAGCTCCAGAAATTCGCTGGTGGGCTTGGCAGATCTCCACCGCAGCTTTGGCGCTCACAATCTTGCCCATGTACATTGTGCCCTTGTGCAAGAACTTCGTCCCAAGAAACCTGAACAAGTCCAAGCCCTAAGCTGCAGGTTAACCCGGGAAACATCCGAATACTAAGCCTTGCCAAGCAACCCTGCGCGGATAACTCGCATGCGGGCAAGCGGATGCCCGCGCCAGTCCCTGCCCTCCTTGCGCACAACCTTGAAACTCACGCGGCCCTCCGATTGCAGCACCGAAAAAACCTGGAACTCAACATCCTCAATGTTCCTGGGCAGACGCCAAAATAGAGGGCCTGCCAAGATTTCCCATGATGACCCAGCTTCCCATGTCGCGGAAACATCAGCAATCTGAACCTCAAGATGGCTGTACGTCTCCGTTCTTGCCTGCACGGGTTGCAGCGTCAGACTTGAACCCCGCCGGAGCACAATCATGTGTGCCGAGTCCTTTCTGCGAATAGCAATTTTGCTGCGCATGCTTCTCGACACGATGTCGACATGGCTGCTGGGTTCCAGCACAACTGTGTCCCCGCCAAGTGCATAGATCATGTTTTCCTCAGCTATTTAATACTTCAGATCTTTCGAGCATGATGTCGTCTTGCATCGGCAACGAATGCCAGAACATTGCAGCCGAGATGCTCGGGTAAATGCAACCACCACTAGCCGAGTGTCCGTGCGGTTCCAGATACGCACGCACTGTGGATTGATGTGCGGGAGGCGGTCTGGCCCGACCTTTTTCCCAACTGCAAGCATTTTTATGTTTCGTCCTGCAGCGTTCGGCAACAGTTGTTTTGTAAACTGCTTGCCTCCTGATCTCCGTCTTCGCCTGAAGGCTGTCGTCTGAACCAAAAGCCACTTCTGGTCTTGTTGACCCTGGCACGTGAGCTGCACCAGTCACGGAGACCTCTTCCCGAGAAGCGAGATCTCCACGCTGCCTGACAAAGGGATCGGAACGAATCGTGGGTAAAAGGCACGATTCGTTCAGCTTAAGGCTTCTTTTCCTGGCAGTTCATTCGGAGGTTGCACGGGGAAGTAAACCGAACAAACTCCAAGACAGTGCCAGCAAGGCAACCTGCTGGCATCTCGCTCGGTAAACACCTGCCTTGACAACAGCTCCGACGACGGCTGTGCAGGCCCAAAGGGGCGCCGGCGTTCTGTTCCGCAAGTGCTTCCTTCCTGCCGGCATCGGAGAATCTTGGTATGTGCGCGAGCGTGCCTCAGCTTCTTCTTGTCTCTCTGCCGTTTGGCGAGAGGCCGGAAGTTTCAGCTCTTGGATTCGGCCACGAGCCCCTGACTGAGGTGTGTGCAAGCAGGCCTGCGCAGCCAGCCATGTGATGTCCGCACGAGCTGGTCATGCTCTGACAATTTCAGCTATCAGACAACGCCTGCTGTACACTACCTTGCGCTGCAATTACGTGGCATCTATGGGCGACTGGACGCTGCCGACTTGCCTCGAGGTCTGCGATCCACATGCTGTTGAGCCAACATACGGACAAGCATCCTCACTGGCCATCCTTGTTTACAACAAACAAGTGCTGGGCTCTGATCTATCTCAGCCCAGTCCATTCGTTGTGCAGCTGTAACTGCATTGGACGATGTCTAGCTGCATCCGCACTTTCCCATGGAACGTCAGAGCGAAACAAAAAAGAAAGGGCCAGCAGGAAATCAAGTTGGTCACGACTGCGAGCATGCCCACATGCCTGCACCATCCTGCACCATGGCGGCCCCGTGAGGCTCAAGTTCGGCCAAACCGACAACGGAACTCCGCGGGCTATTGGCAAGACCTTCCCAACCCCCTTCTTTGCCGGTCACGGGCACTGACTCGTTGCTCTGTGTAATTTGCTCCAAGTCAAAATGGCTGTCTCGAAAACCTGCTGGTCCTCCTGAGCGACCATGCTCGTGCAATCCATGTGTTTTGCAGCTGCTGAGCATGCCGTGCCAGCCTTGTTGTCAATCTGGTTGTCGACGAAAAACGTCTGCAAACTGTTCTGGTGGAGACCTCGCGGTACAAGGTATCCGTACACGAAACTGCACTGACGGCCGGGATCGACTTTCTGGTTACAGACAACAGGAGCACAAGAGCCACCTGCCCTAGGTGCTTATCGTAGGATGCTCACTGCAGATCTGGTCCACATCATCGTAGTTGTTGATCAGTCTAGCCTGTTTGAAGCTGAAGCCCCAGATTGCCGTGCGCACAAACATGCGCTCTTGTGCTTCCAAAGCGTTGCACCTGATACTTGCTCAGGCCCCATGCCACAGTCCAGCTTGCAAGATCGTTCGAATCCTGGCGTGAGCAGCTAGTGCAAGCGACGCGACACGAAGCAGCAGCGCATCTTCATTCAACAGAATTCAACGTCAAATTCTGCGCTCACACTCAGACTTTCCAGGTGAGGCAGTCTGGTCCTGGGCATTTGCTGTGACAGGTGCTTGCGATGGTGCAGCAGCACCTTCGTCGCCGAATTCAGAAACACATGCAAAGCAGGCATGCAAAAAGAGCGACAGAGAAAGAAGGGAGAAAGAAAGAGATCCACAACACGAGGTGCTTGGCCGCAGAGGCTGAGTCGATGGCAGCTTTTTGGCCGAAGATTCATTACTTCAGCACCTCGCAGAAAGCCGCTGGAGCCGGAGCTTTTTTTGGGTTTTTTTACAGAGGCGACGGTTGTGTCTCTCTCTTGCAATGGAGGCGCCAAGCTCCGTGTCCAGATTGATCAGGGATGTGTATAACTCCTTCATAGACGGATTTTGTCGGAGGTCGAGTCGAAATTGCAGCAACGGCGGCCTGCCGTAAGGATGGAACTCGCGTAGGTGGAGGTGGCAACAGTAGAGGCCTCGGTCAAAGCTCGTCCTCCACTGATCACTCTGTCTGCAATTGCAAGTGATCCCCACAAATGCATCGAGATCACCCAGCTCTCCAGGGAGCGCGTTCTGATACAGCTGCGGGTGCCTTCGGTGGTGTGACCGGTGCTGCCGAGCCCAGTTGAGACGGAATCGTCTGTGCAACTGGATCGCTTTCGATTGCCGGAGCTGTCTGTGAAACTGGCACTGAATCGGAAGTGGTCATGGCTGGCAAAGGTGGAGGACTCAGGAATGGCAGGGAGCTGGGCGCTTTCGCGGATGCTGTAGCCGAGGTCTTCGATGGAGGCGGTGCTGGTGGTGGCGGTGTGGCGGAGGAATGTGGTGGGTATGTCTGAGACGACGGCGGTATCAATGCCTCCGTCCCCTCTGAGAGTTTGCATGATGGCGCTTCTTCTTTGGAAGCTGTTGATTCGATGGCTGGCTGTTCAGAACGTCGCTGCACCTGTTTACAGCATGATGAAATCTCCGAGAACTACCTAGCTACTTCCATGCTTGCAAGACATGCGTTTTCGTGCCTCAGCCTCCTCTTCCTCCTGTGCTGCGAAATATGCAGCTGCCAAAGCAGCATAGCCTGCTGCCATTGCTTCGGCCGAGTCTTCGTTGTCTGGACCTTGCTTTGCATCACTTGGTCGGGGCATCGTCTTTGCTGCCAGGATTTTGGCAGGCCGAGCTGTCTTGTCCGGTGCCTCCGGTGCCTCCCGCTTAGATCCCTCGTCCGCTGCTTTTAGAGCAGACGCCTTTGCTGCGGTCTTTGCGCGCTTTTGCCGCGGCCGTTGTTGCGGAACGTCGTCACCTGATGCATGTTTCTGGCCCTGGCTTGCAGTGCTTTGGACGGGCGGCTGCTGGTGCTCTTGTCGCTCTGGCTGCGCCTGTTTCACACGCACTTGCTCTGGCTGTGTGCCCTGCACCACGGCAGGTACTGCAGGGGATCTAGCCTCCCGGGGCTGTGCGCTTGCGAACTGCGCTTGCTTCTGCTCCTCGGGCTGCGCTGCAGTCGCCGATCTGCCTGGCAGTCTATAGTACATAGAATCTTTGAATTCACAGAGGCCACGCCATGCAGCATGTGGCTCTGCGAAATCGAAACCATGTCGAACCGCAGCTAGGTATTGCAGCGCAATTACACATGTTTCGCGCCATCTGTGCATGAGAGCTTGCTTGTCATCATGGCCTTGGCAGACTCTGCTGCGAAACAGACCTTCTTTCAGTGTTCGCGCTCACTGAGAAGCCGGTTCCACCCCAACCCTGCAGGAGTTTATCGATGTTGTAGGAAGTTGCAGGCTTGCGGGTATGCACCCGCGGGAATGGTTTATTTTCGGGTGAAATTCAAAATGACCTTGGAGCCCGTACCGAGCTCTGCAACTGCGAACACCCTCTTACGAACCACAGCCTTCAGTCTGCGGTCATGTTCGTGTGAACAAGCGGGCCGATTGCTTCCACCGGCACATGAAGTGCGTTTGATGAGATTTTTGCCATGCTCTCGCCGTCGCTCTGTGTCTCGCGTCTTGCATCTGCTCTATCACCACGTCTTCTGCTGAGACGAGGAGGAATTCTCAGAAGTCTGTCGCCGGAAGATCTTTTTGCTTGAGGACACCTAGTTCCATAGGAAAGATCATTCAAACCAGTCTACAGTACAAACCACCTCAGCAGACTGAATGCTCTGCAATGAACGATGTCATGAAGTGCATGCCCTGTTGTCTATCCCCGGATGGCCTGCGCCTGGCTTTTCTGGCTGTGCTGGCGCCGGCTTTGCTCGCTGCGGTTGGGCCTGTGGGGTCGCGGCAGTCGCAGCCTGCGGTGCGCTCTGCACCGCTTGGAATTGCGCTGGTCGCACCTCTCGAGTCCAGCAGAGTGACAGAAACGACGGTGACAAGAAGGTGTGTCTGGTTTAAGCGATGAGATTCTCTTTACAAACGCAAACTCGGGCCTACGGGCCTATTGACCACGCGGTCACTGGACGTCCACCCCCGTGCAGCTTAGATGTCTATATCTATATATATATATATATATTTATTTATTTTTTTTGCATCCCACGTGGCATCGTCCGAGGACTCTGCATAGCAGGTCACAGGCTTCGACTGTTACTGAAGCTCACAATTTGCCAACTTCAGCAGTGATACTACAATCCAGCTCAGTGCTCACCAACTTTGATACAGCTCACAAGGCAAGCGACAGTACAAAGGAAACAACAGACAGATAGATTTTTGCCTCCCGCCTGGCTAGGACGAACCTACGATGCAGGGTCTGACAAGACCAAACAGAAGAAAGAGCCCCCGTGCGTTTGCATGAGGCTCGAAAGATTCCACTGCGGCTTGGGGGGTCGACACTATTGGATCCACTCCACCAAACAGTCGCCTTCACGGCACGGTGCCTCCTATGCTGTATAAGAGGCTCCAGGCAAAAACATGCAAGGCATCTCACTCTCGCACTATCCGGTGGAACTCACTCCCCCTCGTCAGATACATTCCTACTCGTCGAGCTCTGGTTATGTCTCCCATCAGCTGCCAGCACGCAGGTTCGAGTTTCACAGCTGTTGGAGGGCGCAAGCTTTTCTCCCTGTCCCGGTGCGCAGAGACAGCGCTTCACACGGACAACAAGAAAGGCCCTGTACACTCACTCGTACCCGAAGACTTTTGTCCGTCACATCAATTCGCCAGCACTCAGAGGTGTTGGAGCGAGAGCTATCACACGCAGTCATGCCACAAAAATTCACACGCAGGTCTTCCAAATTCAGCGGTGACAACTCTCCAGGCACGCAAAATACAAATTCAGCGACAGCGATGCACCCAGGCTTGCAACTGATGTCCTCACCAGCAGGATTGCCAATTCTTGTACTCGTGCAGTCAATTCCGGTACTCATCCAGTCATGCAGTCACCGGTGAGGCCAGAATCTTGTCACACCACACCAGTCTTCGCCAATCCAGTGTGGACGTTCATGCAGGAGCAGCATGCAGTTAAATTCCTTTCGTAGTGCCGCGATACTCGACTGTGACAGTACAATCATCAGTGGATCCGCCAAACATTGTATGGCAGTACCAGAGTGTAGACATTCGGTGCCGCGGCGACACAAGCACATGGGGAGTCCCCGGGCAGCAGATCAGCGCACACAGGGGCCATGGCGTCAGGAATGTCAAGACTGCAGATTGCCCACAGCCCAGACATCGCTGAACTAGCGAAGTTTCTCCGAACAGACCCTGAAGAGTTAGGGGGTCAAAAAACCCAATGTATATAGGGCCCTAGCTCCTGAGAGCACACTACAGAACAGACCCTGAACAGGAGGAGAGTAGGAGAGGAGACCAGACAGACAAGACAGTTGGGGCTTTGGGAGGTCCTGGAGCCTTTCACTATTTTTCCAGATTTTAGGGTTTGGGAAAGGCACTCGGCTCCCCTGGCAGTCCATTGGCAGATGTCCGCATCCACGCGAAGTCCGTGATGAGAAGCTGGCGCGGTCCTGGTCCTTTCCTACTTTCACTCGCTCTCCGTTTGGCTTCGGTGGCCCACAAATCAAGGTCCTCAGCTGTGGGGAAAGGGAGGTTGAGGTGAATTTGGGCAGTGACGTGTAGATTTTGGGGGGCGTTTCTGGTGTGGAGTGTCGTAAAGGCTGTGAGGGTTGTTCTCGGGCCATGCTTCCAGGGAGTACAGCAGTGGAATTGAGCTCTACTATGAAAGACGGTTGGCTTCTGTTTAATGGGGACAACATCACCATACAAAGTCTGTCCTGAATGGTTCATGGGATGTTTTCCGTGGGTATTGTGGATCCATAGGTCGCCACCGGTTTGTTGGGTGAGACAGGTCAGGAAGGCCGGTGCATCTGCACTATTGAGGTCACGATGGGGTCCTTTGCTGCTATTTGTGGCAAGGGTGAGGGTAGTGAAGCGGAAGGTTGGGAAATGTTGAAGTACAAACTTGACAAGCGCTCGAACAGTGTGTTTTAAAGAGAACGATGCATTCGTGAAATGTTCCGGCATCCTAGGGCTTAGTCCAGAAACGAGGTGGGACTGTCCGGATTCATGGCCGGGGGGAGGTTTGAGTCGCTTTCCTAGGGGGATAAGGGCCCACAGTTCAAGGATATCGGAGTGCTCCAGTCTGGATTTGTTTAGCAATTGGCGAGCTAGGCTTTCGGCTGGGACAAAGGCAGGCTCGGTACCTAGCTGTAGCGCCTCAGAAAGTGTGCTTGGAATGCTACAGGGAAGGCATTGCGAAACGGAGTTTTGTTCGTGGTCGAGTCTTAGGATCTTACGGGGTGGGCTGCGGGGCTCCAGGTCGGAGGCTTCGTCAGGGGTAGTGTCTGTGGGTTCAGACATGCCGGTAAGCGGAGCAATCTGAGTGAAAATCGCCTAGGACATGAGTCACCGAATCCCCCAAACCGAAAGAGTAAGCAACCGCAGGACAAACCAGAAATGCCTACCGACTAGAGCGACTGTGTGCCTGCAAGCCGAGAAGTCCTGAACGGCCAAGAGCATGGTTCTGGGGGGGTGCTGGTTTGGGAGGGGGGAACTACACACCGGTCACGCTCGGAATCTTTTGGTCGAAAGTTGTCAGTACTGGCTCCGGAACTGTAGTTGCGATGCTTTGCATGCAAAGGCTCACCTGTCAAATTCGATTAAATTCCAGCTAAACAAATTCAACGTGGGTCGTGGTGCACATGCAGCGTGGTGGCAGTCGTGCAGGCTCACGCTTCGGCGAGTGTCGTGGCAGAGTCGTAGTGTCAAAGCATTGCAGATCTCGCGCCTCGGCGAGTGTCGTGGTCAGCAGAAAGGCAGTCCCATGTCATCATAGGTATTAAGCGACGGCCCATGTCATCAGAGGCATCAAGCGACGGTGCAGCAACGGCTGACATGCAAAAGAACATGCAAAGAATTCGGACATGCAAACATGCACAAACTGTGACATGCAGGTGAGCTGGCTCGCATGCAGCAGCACGGAAATCATGTAGAGCTAGAACTCCTGTCGTCCGGGCTGGGCATCGGGTGTGTGTGAAGGGTGGTCAAAGGTGGGGCAGGGTAAGTTGGTGCCCTAGAAAATACAAAAAGCCCATGCACAGCCCAGACTCCAGTCTAGCGAAAGGCAGAGCGAATCACTGCAGCTTGCTGGGGCGTCAACACAAAGGAGGACTCGGGCCCATGTGTGCATAGGGCTCTGCGCTGCCACAAAAATCGGCTGACTTGAGCTGGCAGGTCTCCTGTAGGCGGATGGTGTCTGGTCCAGCGGAACGGGGTGGTCCGTCTGCGCCGCCGTCGTTGTCGCCCCAGACTGGTTCGGGGGCTTCCGCGCCGGAATTTCGGCAGCCTGTCCAAGACTTTGGACTCCGTTTCCTGGACCAAACTGCTGACTTCCAGGATTTCCCTGCTCAAGTCGCTCATCCACGACCATATTTGATCGAGGCTCTCTTTGCTCTCTTGGACAATGTGGATGATGTCGCTGAGCCCCTTCATCGCTCTGTCCACCGGGAGGTCATCAATCCGTCCTCGCACACCGTTGGTTTCGTGGAGGACTTCGGCGATTCCTTTCGGCAGGCCCTCGCATGTTGCCGGGCGGATTTCCCTGATCATGGGCACTACGCTGGATACCATGGCCTTGAGGCTTCCATGCTCCGACCACCATGTAGACTGGTGCTTATCCGCCTTCTGCTCAGCTCGGACAAAGCCCGCGTGCGTCTCGTTGGACACCTTCTGAATGGACTGCGCAATGACATCAACCAGTTTGTCAAGTGCCACCAGTTTTTCCAGATAGATAGATAGATAGATATATATATATATGGTCACCCCC